TTTATCGATACTGATGAAAAGGGTGTGGCGCCAAATCAGCCTAATCATCGCATATGTATTGAAAAAGCGGTTCTGGCGCAAAATTCAGTGCCTATCGGCGCCAAGAGGTTAAAACTAATGCCGTATTTCTGCTGATCAGCGACATCTAATTTAAACCTATCGCAACTATCTTACTATGCAAATTTCACACCCGCGATATTAGTGGAAAAGTTGGCGGCGTAAAGTGGCGCCAATTTAGCGCCAGCGCTGAGAACAACTACTATTTTCGTGATCAGGACACCAAACTACCTCTGTGGGCAAAGTTTCAGCAAAAAAAATTTCTTGATTTTTTGGGGTAGTAATAGGAATAGTGCCGAATATTGAATGCGCGGATAGTTGTTTGAACGTTTCGCATTCATTCAGCATTTGAACTGAGCGCGCTCCTTCGTGGTAAGATTTCGGAATAAGCCAAGGAATGCCAGAAGCGCCTTTTTTTGGACATCCATAACTTTTTTGAGTAGGTGGAGAGGCCTCTCAGGCGAAAGCGGAGTTGTGACGCTGTGTGCTCAAGCGATTTGAGAAACCTCCACCGTTGTGTAATGCGTGTGTCACCTACGATTCATGCTTTGAACAGCCATACTTCCTTTGAATGTAGCATCTTGCTACACCAGACTATGGCCGGGAATCTAGAAGAGTCTCACCTTCTGGCAGAGGCTGCCTCACTTTTCCCTTGTCGTAGGGCAATACCGTTTGGAACTCGTTTTAAGGCTTAGTACGCTTGCTAAACACCCCTTCGATCATTTGTCAGGAGACGAATTCATTGGCTCCCGAGGTGGACACACCACTTATCGCGGCTGTATCCGTATTGAAGCCACTTGTGTATTGTGATTGAGATTTCTTGAGAAAGCTACAATACTTGGCCTTCGTCAGCGACCAGCGGACTCCTTCACAGTTGCTGCAACTCGCGCTACGATTTCGGCCACCCTCCCCTTCTAAGGCCCCTTATCGAATCTTATCAAGTGTTATCACCTCCTGTCACCCACCAAAAGTGTTCCTGTCCCAACCCCTATATCATATCTTGGAATTAACTTCCTAACGCCTACTGGGACCGGCGCTATGAATTCGTGACGACGCACGGACACACAGACACACGCTCCCACACACACACACACACACAGACAGACATAGCCGGCGATTATATATTAAGTAGGAGCACAACAGCTCACAGAAAATGAAATAAACAACTTGAGTGCCAACTAATCTCGTTGAGGTACACTGTAGTGAGCGCCACATCGTAATTCTTCCCTTATCATTGTTGTGTCGAAGTAGGTCACAGGACATCATTTTTGACGGACTCTTCTGGAGTCTCTGTTTGCTTTCGTTCTCTTCTGTAAGTCCTTGACACCTTCATAACTTATTTAGCTTACTTTTAACAGCCCATCACATTAAGCTCTGAAGCGCCTTGTTCACGTATCCACATCTCTAATCATCACTCCTAAGAAAGGGTAACTGCCACATGCTCTCTCCGTGCGGAGCGTAGGAGCGCGTGCATAATGTTTACTAATCGTGAGTAATGGATTAATGTTTCACTGATGACGGATAGATGCAATATCAGGGATAAAATTATTCATTCCGTCTGGAATTCAACGCTCTTGTATAACGTCACCACTAGTAACGGAGTAGGAATGACTTGTGCTCTAATTAATCAGAGTGTGCCTGATACTTGAGCTACTAAGTTTACTGAAAAGTGTTTCCTGAATCACAGTTAAATTAGAAACAAAACCTACCGAGGAAAGAAATCAACAAATAAACAAATCAGTTTGGCAGGCGATATATATGGTGTGCCAGCCTACTATCAAGGATTTCGTCATCTATATGTAGCATTCATTGTCCTACTTAGAAAAATCCGGACCGCAGTTAGACTGAAATCGTAATGCCGACGTTCGGATCTTGTGCAAAAAAAAGGCACCAACCGTGCTTTTGTAATAAATGCCGCTGGGTGCCGCTATTAAATGTGGTAGAGCTTTTTGCTGGTAAGAGGCCCAGTTTCGATTCTGTTCTGAAGCTTTCTTCAGACTGTCCTGTCACGCATATCCACATGCGGTTGAATAGTTATGAACCACCAGCTCACAATGAATAAGATCTCTTACATACCACTTACAGTGATAAAATCGAATTATCTTTGAGCCCCTTCGTTGTAGGATCAATCATACCGACCTTTAATTGACCTTGGCATCCCATGAAATCTTTTTTAGTAGATGTTTGGTAAATGTTGAAATCACAACAAAGAGGACTGCCTGTCGGCGGCGCCAGCGTTGACTAGAATTTACCTATAGAGCAGAGGGGGGGGGTTGATGGTCCAAGCTTTGATCTTAGCGATGACCGTTTTGAAAACGCAGCTTTGCTTGGCTAATGTTTCGGCTTACCCACTTTCGTCGGAGCATGGGAAGTCAAAGGCAAGAGTTAGTGACTGCCACTTCAGATTCAAGACCAGCTCACCATATACCGAGAGCGTCTAGAAGATCTCGTAGCTCGCAAGCACAATTCGACTATCCTTGAGGTTTGACCATCGCTAAACTGACTCACCGAGGGATGGCTTTAGATGACATAGACCTTCGACCGGGAGGCGATGGCGTTGAATCCCGCACGGGTCAGCTCACTTGTATTTGCTGAGCAGTCATCTTTTTTCTTTAAAAAGGGATATTTAGCACGTATCTGAAAGGTCTCTAGAGTCTTGCTCTTGGTCACAGAATGAACGAGGGCTTCTGCACCTCGTACATTCTGTGACCAGCCAGAGCAGTCTCGAATCTTGATTTCCTTTTACAGTCTAATAGTTCTTTCACCCTAGAGCAAAGTAGTCGCCCAGTTCCGCCAATGTGCCCATCCCCGCCGAGGATGCCTGCGATCAGGTGGATTACAACTGTTGCCATGCAGTCACTCTCAATGAGGGCAGATAACACACATCAAAACATGATTATGGAAAACAGAGACGTTTTTTCTCATAGACATATGAATTCGGGCTTAATTTGAAACACATCAAACACTGTCCTTCAAAACGAAAACCCTAATTCCCCTAGAACGAGCTAGTAGGATCAGATCCTTTCCTGGAAAATCGACGCATATGTCTTCAGGAAACAGAAATAGTGCTTCATTGTTCATGCGATGATTTTACCCTTGTCATTCTCCAGCAGTTCTCTTGTGTGCTTACTTTCGAGAGAAACATTCAATAGTAAAACCTAATATAACGCAACAGTAAAGGATAAGGATAAAGTCTTCGCCGTTGATCAATCCCTTTGTGGGATGCGGCACGCATTCTACTTCCATTCAGAATCGTAGTGGCTTATTGAATGCGATGTGGCCTATACAATGACTTGCGGTGGCCAGCCGATGTACAAGTCAGTGTTTTATCCTCCCAGACGAATCTGGTACCAATTTCACCGTCCCCGGAGGGTAGAAGGCTTGGTTGGCCTGGGCGGGTGTCGACCCGGGATTCGAACCCGGCGCCGCGCGAGTGGTAAGCGCGCCACTTGTCACTACACCACCTCCGCCTCAACGCAACAGTAAGACCTAAAAATGAAAAAGAACAGAAGCAAGGAAAAATGACTGCAGAAGTAGGCGAAATGATTACATCCAAGACATTGTAAAATATAACGACCTAGATTTTAGTTCGAGCCTTAGCGCTATAAAACGTTAATTTTGAAGTTTGATGCTATAAAAACGGATGTGTAAAACTAGTTCGATATACGGCTTTTTTCAAGTTCCGATATATGGCTTTTTTCAAGTTTTTCTCAGATTTTTTTCAGAAGAAGTTTTGAAGTTCAGGTCTTCGAGATGAGAGAAAGTACCCTTATGAGAAGCAATGCTTTAATAATTGCACTACTTCACCCCAGAAACTCAGAAATATTGGGTTGGCACATAAGTAATGGCGTTTTTTTTCAAATGAAAATTTTGTTCCAAAAGTGAAATGTTTTGCAAGCAAGCTTGATATCATCTGATAGAAACTTCAGCTTGATATCATCTGATAGGAAACTTCTCGTAGTATAAGAATATCAAAACAGCTTCGGTTGAGGGAATAATTTTTGTGAATTTTTTAGTCGTTGAAGTTGAAAGCGAAAATCTTCGACAACTGCCTCTATTTACGTCTACTCGAAGTGCTAAAATCGCTTAAGCTGCTCCATACATTTGGAAAAGGTTGAGCTAGAAGTCTCAGCAAGGAATCTCAATAGGACGCTTTGGAACGAATTTCAAGAATTTCAAAGTTGCCAACCTTCACCTCGCCGATATTGGGCAGGCTCACGTCTGTTCCACCTGAAATTTTATGCTAATAGTTGAATGTTTCGCTGATATGTTTTGCATGTTCTGATAGCAAATTTCGTGCTCTATAACACTGCAATGGAAATCTGTTCTCCAGAGCTGTTTACTTTCTGTTAATTTCAGGTTATCATTACGGAACGTGAGGTCGATGAGAATTAGCGTTCCCGACTTCCTCTCCCTACCGCTGTCCAAGCTTCAAAAGTCCTAGAGCAGCTCAATAGAATCGCCATGGTTTGAGTGAGGCATAGAGTAACAAGGTAAGAGGCCGCTGCAACAGGACTGAGCATTCCCACAGTTGTCCAAATGCCTAATTCCCGACTGTATCTGTTTGTCTCCTGAGTCGGTCGCGTTTTAGGAATAGCACGTCAACCTGTGCTTCATGTAGCAAGAAAAATACGGATCAACCGATGGAAGACCAGATATGATTGGCAATCAGATCTTTAGACCAATTCTATGACGGGAAGCACGTCTGTCGGTACCCACAAGGAAAGGAAAACTGAGCAGTTCCGATAGAAGCAATTACGGTCCTAAGTAAATTTCTTTTTGATTTTGAAACTTTATCGTCTTCAAAAACAGCTTTCCTCATGATCACTACACGATAATTTCCTCGACTATAAATTAAAAGCAATATGATCGAACATATAATATGTACATCTATGTCTCGAGTGAGTTAGAAAGTACCACAGGTATTTGAAGACTCAAAAAAGTCAAGACTCTGGGAAGAATTCGCCGATGTTCTCGTGAGATCCTCGCTGTCTACGCTTTGAGCTGCCTTCTCTTCTGACTGGTGTTTTCGCTTCACCTGACGATGGCTCACGATCGATGTCTTCGAGATTAAAGGCCTCAAAGTTGTCGAAAGATCCAGCCTGAATGATGCCAGACGTCATCAGTAGCAATAACCCTCAACAGTGATTGCACAAACGCCTACTAAAAATCAATCGTTGCCAAATCCTCTGAGCTGTAGTAGTACAGCTCGGAGGGCCACGCTGGCCTCACTAGCAAAATAAGATAGCAGAAGCGGCCGAAAGGTGAAAAGCGGTCCCGGTGGCGCAATGGATAGCGCACTCGTCCACTAGGCAGCGTTCAGACTTGGCGACGACAGCGCTACGTTCGCTTAATCGACGCAATCAATGTATTCGAATCGCGTCGAAAGCGCAACCAAAGCGCTGCCGTCGTGAAGTCTGAACGCTGCCGTATGCGTGAGGAGCAAGTTGGAGGCCCGGTTTTTAGCCCATAACCCTCTCTTGTAATGCGGGAACAGCAGGATTTCCACCTCAATCAACTTCCAATCAGAAAGGCCCATAAATTCACCATCTTTGATTCGGTTGTTCTTCAGTACTAACTCACCCCTGCCTAACAACCACCCACCCCCCTCTCAGTGGTCAATTACGACCTCCGTCCAAGGGATACTCCCAACGATATGCACTGAACACTCAGTAGACTGGCAGGTGTTTGGCTTTGAAATTATAATAAAGGAAGTGATTATGGATCAGACTGAGGAAGTATAAGTGCATGTTGTTGACCACGTAACAAAAGTTGTTAAGAAAGTAATAGCTGAGAAACTCAGTCCAGACGGATATTCCATGCTGTCACCACGGACTCTTCACAATTTCCCCTTGAATGGACCTCTCACTTCAAGAATCCACTCTGCGTGAGCTTAAGGAATTTAACGCTCTTAGTGGGCTCTTTGAATATTTTTCTCCACCGTCCCACATATCTTTGGTCCTTTGAAGGTACGGTTTGAAGCTGCTATCAAATTTCTCCAAACACTCGGGAAGGTCGCTGAGGTTTTTATTCACCGTTCTGAGTAAAGCATGAAACATGGCGCAGTTCGGCTCGGTCCGGTTGAGGCTGGCTAGGGCACTTAGCTGCTTCCCACTGACCACTGCGAAGATATGTGTAACCTGTGTAAAGCTAGGCAATAGTGTGAGCTTGAAAGTTCCCAAGAGTTCACATGTCTTCCAGGATGGGACGTGTAGCTTAGCAAGAACTAGCATAAGATACAAGCGAAAGCGCAGATGCCCCCCTAAGCTATTGGAGCTTCCGCCAGTCCCTCTCAGAGATGCGACACACTTCTGTTCAAGATAATAATACATGAAGCTTCACGAGTGCGATATGGCCTGTACCGTAACGTGAGAGGACAAGCCGTGGGTCCACTACTCCCCGTTCAATCCTTTCAAACGTGTCTGACATCATTTGCCCCCCCCCCCACGGAGTGGTGGAAGACTTGATAGGAAAATACGGAAGGCTTGGCGGGCTTGGGCGCAGTCCGAGCCGGGATTTGACCCGCGAACGCGTGTTAGGTAAGTGGCGCTAGTTGCCACCACACCATCCCTTTAGAAGGTAACAGCATAGTGACTTTTGAACTCACCGCATCTGAAAATAGCGACTTGTCCTCTTTGTTGTGCTTCCTTCTGAGCGATGACGATAACTTGATGATTCTAGCCGTCGGAGCAAATTTGGGCAAGTCAAATATCCTTGCTTGGCTCAGCATATGAGGTCTAAACTGAGAACCTTTGTGAATCATACAGAATAGATCCTTATAAGCTGAGCAGAATGTGCACCTGTTTCCCGTTACTATTCCATCATTTAGTTGTCCATTCAACTGTTCAGCAACAAGTAAAAAGGCGGCAATGAAAAATATGATCATTCTTGACCAACTGAAATATGCACTTGCCTAAACACCGTACATCCAGAGAAAAAATGGAGGAAGTATTGGTTTCAAGGATGAAACTAAGAGCAATTCCATGTAAGCAATCCGCGAAAAACAGGTAAATTATCATGATGCATACTTAATTGTACCTTATCACTTTGTCAAAAAAATGTGGAAATGCCTAGAGGAAGGTAGACAGGACCACGGAGAACGTCTAGTATGGCGCTGATCGGCTTGAGCGGGACATTACGCTTTCGCTGAATCCTTTTTCTAGTTCATGCTCACGGGTCTCATTTTGGTGGAACATGTGAACTCTTGTAAAGCTGCGGAATTGTACAACTGTGAGCAACTATGGTGACAAGAGTTTACAGCGGCGCAGTTTGTCGACGGGGGGGGGGGCATTTTGCTTTTCATAGATGTGTCGACCCATCTAGGTAGCCTTTTCTCGAGTTGACACGTTTTAGGATGGTGGCTAGACGATCTTACTCCAGCTTCACAGGCGTTCACAAGTTTTACCATGGTGAGATTCGTAAACCGGAACTAGGGAAGCAATGTTAGTACAAAATGCCCCCCGTCGCTGAACAGCGCCGTTTACAGCTTTTGGAAAGATGGCCTGTACACGCTTCGATGAGCACCATTTGTTGCCCCCCCCCCTTGTCGAAGCTGAACTGCGACCGAAAACAATTTTGCATTCGAATAGGGAATCATCTACTGAGCAAATGCACCCTATTTCTCATTTCAAAGGTAATAAGGTACCAACACACACAGCACTTTGCATTTACATGAACTAATAGAGCGATTAGCGATAGCCGCCGTATGCTAGAGGAGAAACGACGTTGATAGCGAAACCCGTCTCATCGGCAGTTTCTCCTTCGAAAAAACTTGAATTGCCGTGCCGTCCACCTCTGGAAATTTCAATTACTGATTAAGTCATCAATCAACGTTTGCAGCGGTGGAGACGCTTTGATGACGAAATGAATTGATTCTTCAATTATTGGACCAGAAGAGGGGAGCTTCTTGGGAGAGGGTCTATATATCAAAAGTAACTACCCAGAACGGGCGAAAGGTTTGCCAGCCGAATGTGCATGTTTTGGCCAGTGAATCTACTCAGACACCTCCTGCCTCTACACCAACTGTTCCAGGTGTGACATGCAGGGCGCGTTGGGGATCCCGGCAAGGTGGAGTTGTATGCGATCGCCGAGGGTGCGGAAACTTGTCCAAATTCTTCGTGCTCAAGTGCGCTATATGGATGGCCCCTCTCACGCTCTGTAGCAGCTTTATGGACAGGGCACAGCATCGTTGTGTGAAAGAATGGAGGGGGTCATACTTGGCCCGCTGGGGGAGGGGGAGGGGTCGTATGTGGCTTTGAGAGAAATTAGCCGCGTTGGAAAATAATTTTCCCAGTTGTTAACTTTGACTTTTCGTAATTTTTCCTGTTTCATGTGTACTATATACTCTCTCGCTCGACAGGAAACTTCGGGGTGGAAAAAAGGGAAATTGGTAGGGGTGGGTGTTGGGGAAGGGGGAGGAGAGATCGTACCGAGACCCTCTCCTGAGTGGGGAGTCGCACCAACACTTTCCCTCGAGAGGTGGTGGTCGCACCGACGCCACCATTTCACACATCACGATACTGTCTCCTGTTTATAGAGGAAAGATGGAGATATTTTTGAAAGAAATCCGGAAAAGTTGTACGGAGTTGGGGAAATATAGGAAGATTGTCGGCACTATTTACCCTTTACTGCCCCAGCCATCCAGAATTGAGCCAGTTTCTGACCGACTTTGTTCTCCGTGGACAGATTTGGCTCAAATGTTGTCTCCTGGGGTATTTTGACCTCCTGAATACGAATATGACATTCGCTTAGCCCGAAACCTCCTGGCGCCCGCGCCACACGCGCCCGTGATGTGGGGTATTTTGGCGCCAGCACCTGTAGCGCGGGCGGCAGGAGGTTTCAGGCCGAGCGGATGTGATATTCGTGTTCAGGAGGTCAGACTACCCCTGAGAACAAGTTTTCAGCGAATTTGGTAACTCAAGGTATTTTTGCGCCGGCGCCTGTGGCGCGAGCGCCAGGAGATTTTCGTGCCTGATGAGATATTCATCTTCAGGAGGTCAAACTAACCAGGCAGGGATAGCCGAGTGGTTAAGAGTGTAGACTCATAATCTCACTCTGAGCCACGAGTTCGATCCCTGCCGAGGCACAAACCTGCCTTGCAAAAATTGCAAAAATGGGGACGATACCAGCGTCAGGCCCAGGTTGACAGGCCGGCTGATGGAGGAACCCGTCACAACAACCATGAAAAGTCGCAATAGAATCAGTGTAAAAGCTAGGACGTCACCCGGAAGTGGCGCGCAGAACCCTCGCCCGAGTTCTGTGGTCAGTATGCGAGGGCTACCGAGGGGTGAACGACCTCGGCCAAAGAAGCTAGTTCGAATTGGGACCCTGAACGTGGGGTCGCTTACCGGGAAGTCTCGTGAGGTTGCCGACCCTCATGAGACGCCAGGCAATATCCAAGTCCTATGCCTGCAGGAAACGCGATGGAAGGGTGCGAAGGCCCGCGAGATCGGAGAAGGTGTTAAACTCTTCTACAATGGAGCAGACACCAAACGGAATGGCGTTGCGATAGCGGTCAGAATCCTCAAGGACTCGTCTCCACTGTGAACAGGATCAGTGACCGGATCATGGGAGTGAGAATGGACACGAAGGAGGGGTACTGGACAGTACTGACCGTGTACGCACCACAATCCGGTTGCTCTGAAGCCGAAAAGGATGAGTTCTACCTGACCCTGGACGAGGCCATAAGATCGGTTCCGGAAGAGGACTATCTCACCATAGCTGGAGATCTGAATGGCCATGTTGGGAGGGACAGAAGGGGTCTAGAAAGGGTGCACGGAGGTCAAGGAATAGGGACAAAGAACGCTGAGGGAGGACGAATCCTTGACCTAGCAACAGCCCACGACTTAGCAATCTGCAGCACCTTCTTCGCGAAAAGGAGGACCCAAAAGGTAACCTACAGCAGTGGAGGGAGACAAACGGAAATCGACCATGTCCTGGTCAGAAGATCGTCTCTCAAAACCGTCAAGGATATCAAGGTACTGCCTGGGGAAGAGCTGGGCCCTCAGCACAGGCCTCTCCTGGCAGACATCGCCATAGACCTCCCCAAGAAGACGAGGGTGAGAGCAGAGCGGAGAATTCGGTGGTGGAAAATGGGCAGGGTAGAAAAGGATAGCCTCGGCCGAAGAATACTGGAGGCTGGGCTCCCAGACCCACAATGGCGCCGAAAACAAGCAATAACATCCATGACACCTGGACCTACGCAGCAGAGGTCATCCTACAGTGTGCAAGGGAGGTCCTGGGAGAGACGCGAGGTGGTATCAGAGGAGACAAGGCAGCCTGGTTCTGGAACGAGGAAGTCCAGAGGATCGTCAAGCAGAAGAAGGAAGCATACAAATGCTGGCAAAAGACACGGAGCCCAGAAGACTACGCTGCCTACAAGAGCTGCAAGCGACTCGCTAAGGCGGCCGTTGCTAAGGCCAAGAATACGGAAATGGACGCCCTGTACGACAAGCTGGAAGGCCGAGAAGGGGACAAGTTCGTCTTCCGCCTGGCTAAAGCTCGGCATCGCGCAGCTCAGGACATCAGGGTCGTAAAGACAGTGAAGAGCAGCAACGGGGCCATTCTCAGGAAACCAGCCGACCCAGCCCAAGTCAGGAAGAGGTGGGAAGAATACTTCGAGGGACTTCTGAACGAAGAATTCCCTCGCAAGGATAGCCCACAGATAGAGGCGACGGCAGGTCCCATCACTCCCTGGACGAAGGATGAAGTTCGCCGGGAGCTAGGGAGAATGAAAGTTGGGAAAGCAGTGGGTCCAGACGGGGTACCGATAGAGGCATGGAAGGCCCTGGAGAGCATGGGGTGAGTTGGCTCACAGACTTCCTAAACAACGTAACAGCTGAAGGAAGGATGCCAGATGCGTGGAGGAGCAGCACAATCGTGTCACCTCTTCAAACAGAAAGGGGACGCGACGGAGTGCTCCAACTACCGCGGGATCAAGCTGACTCCCCATACCATGAAGCTGTACGAGCGCCTGGTCAACACTAGGCTGAGGGAACTCGTCCCTATCTCGCAGGAACAGTTCGGCTTCATGCCCGAGAGGTCCACCACCGATGCCATCTTCATCGCCAGACAGCTGATGGAGAAGTACCGAGAGAAGCGGCGACCCTGCTACCTAGCCTTCCTGGACCTTGAGAAGGCATTCGACCGCCTGCCAAGGCCTGTACTCTGGAGAGCGCTCAGAGAACGTAACGTTCCGGAACACCTCATCTCCTTAGTGAAGGACATGTACGATGGGGCTAAAGCAGCTGTACGCACCCCTCACGGCTTGACAAAGGAGGTAAACATTACGGTTGGGGTACACCAAGGGTCAGCCCTCAGCCCGTTCCTCTTCCTCCTGACTCTAGATGTCATGGCAAAAGAACTCATGGAGGGACCTCTGAAAACCATCCTCTACGCTGACGACATCGCCCTGATAGCGGACAGCAGGGAGGAACTTCAGGACAAGGTGCAGCGGTGGCAGGATGTGCTCGCTGCGAATGGACTCCGGCTGAACGTAAAGAAGACCAAGTTCCTAAGCTCCGAAGAGTGCGCCGAAGTCATCGTAGACCGCCATGGCGAGAGCATCGAAAGGGTCGAGGATTTCCAGTACCTGGGGAGCAACCTAGCAGCTGATGGCAGCGTGGACCAAGCGGTGACGGCCCGAATCAACGCACAGCCTGGATGAAAATTGCGAGGGAGCTCCAACTGGCATCCATGTCGCGAGCGGCCGCGGGGCCGGCGCGGCCCGGCTGCCTCAGAGAAACGCTCAAGGTAAGGTGTACCGGGCTGTGGTAAGGCCTACAATGCTCTACGGCAGTGAGTGCTGGCCCATCTGCAAGAACCATGAAAGGCAGCTCCACTCAGCTGAAATGAGGATGCTGAGATGGGCCTGCGGCTGGACACGAC